TAAAAAAAAAAAAAAAGACTTTGAATTACCTGATAAAGGGTAAGGAGAGAAGAATTCCAGAAGCACAGAGAGGAACTGTCTTTGCATATGAGACAAGCTTAAAAGATTTTTTTAAAAGACTTTGTGTTGAAGGCAGCAGGTGGCATAGTGGTTAGGGGGCTGGACTCTCATCTGGCCAACTACAGTTTGAGTCCCGGACCTGGAAACTTGAAAATCACACTGGATACATACATGTGTGTGCATACCCAAAATCCCAGGAGGAGGATGGAGCAGAAGGGATTATGGTATGGCCATCCTCCGTGGGGGATAATTTCTCACTTTCCTTCTAACTGTCTCTGTCTTTCTCTGGTGAGTAGATGTGCCCTATGGTAAAAACCTTAAAACTAAAAAAAGTAAAAAGGCTTTGTGTGAATTGATCATATAGTAGACTTGGAGAGCCATTGTTGTCTGGATTCATAAAACTAAAAGTCAATTTTAGGGAAACTAAAGGGTCTCTCTAGAGCTCATCCAACACTTCCCTCTTCATAATGTCTTAGAATTCCAGGAAAATTTGTAATTATTTTGACATGATTTTCAATATAAAAAAAAAAAACCTGCAGTAAGAAATTTGCAGAACTTTCGAGAAATTACAAAATGAATTAACCAATGCACATCAGACCTGTGGTACAATGCAGAGATTTTGATGGAGGCAAGACGGTGAAAGACAGGAAAGGAGTGTGGGAGTGTCATTTTTCTATTTATCAAGATAGAATAAATAATTGTTTTTACTTTTTTTGTTTTAATTATTATCATAATCTTCTTTATATTACATTGGATTACATATAACTTTACATTGACTTCCATTGCTTTTTCAAAAGGGAATGCCATGCATGTCAGTCAATACAGAGGCATCGATCTCCCCGCTTTATCATTCAAAGTCTTTTCCATGCATTTCCCAATAATTATTATTATTATAATTTTTTAAAACAGTCAATCACTATTTCTCATTTTGCTTGTTAAAAGACTTCACCCATCATGAAATACTTCCCAGACCAGTCCAGTTGAGAATACTATACACGTCATCTTCAACAGATAATAAACCATATCTGCTTCTCACTAACATCCCCTCTATTGTTCACTTGCTATCTTTCTCTATCCTCTTCTCTTTTTTTTTTATAGTTTATTTTTTATTA